ATCCCAGACTCTGAAAACCTAATTTTGGGAACAAAGTCCAACTCTGGGCAGGAGAGGATAGAAAAGTCAAAGATTAAGAGCTAGAAATATTTGCATCTCAGATGCCCTCGGAACACATTCTAGAAAACGTTATCTTGAAATCACAAAACTCATATGTGGGGGAAAAAAAAGGTAAAAATCTCACTAGTGCTGGGTGTGGTGGGCACACACCTGTAATCACAGCACTCAGGAGGCTGAAGCAGGAGAACTGCTGTGAGTGTGAGCCAGCCTGAGCTACAAAGTGAGCTCAAGGCCAGCCTGAACTGCATAAAAAGACCAAAAAGGGCAGGGGATGTAGCTCAGCGGCAAAAGCACCTGCTTGGAAAACATGAAGTTCTGAGTTAGATTCCCGGTACCAAAAAAAAAAAATCTCACTAGTATAAACAAAAACACTGTCACATTGACTTACGACAAAATTCCTGCAATATTTCTGGAAAAAGTTTATGTTAAGCTTCCAAAAATACATCCTTTGATCTTGACCTAGTTATTTTATTCCTAAAAATGAAAAAAAAAAAATTGAAAATGATATCCAAAAATAGAACAAATTGGTATTTTCACGTATCAGAACTAAGAATTCTCTTTAGGAAATGATCACAATGCAGTATTAAGAAATCAAACTTCCAAGAGTACAACTCCATTTTGTTACTCAGGTATAAAGTTAAAAGACCAAGGAGTGGTGACATACACCTAATAATCCTAGGATTCAGGGAGGCTGAGGCAGGAGGATCACCCTGAGTTGCACTACATAATGAGACCCTGTCTCAAAAAATAAATAAATAAAATAATATTTTAGAAGCCTTTACCGTAACAACAGTACAACTTTGGGGTACATCTTCCAGACTGGATTTTATGCATGAGCTTTTCAAACTAGTCAACAAGCTCAGGCAATTAAAAAATAAACAAGGATCAAACCATGCAGCCCACAGTACGACATGTCAACATGCTAATATTCATAGGCCTCCGTTTACTTATTCATTCAAATGGTTATACTGTGGCGGGCGTAGTGGTGCAGGCCTGTAAAACCAGCATTCAGGAGGCTGAGACAGAAGGATCGCTGTGAGTTTGAGGCCAGCCTGGGCTATAAAGTGAGCTCAAGGCTAGTCTGAACTGCATAGGGAGACCCTGTCTCAAAAATGACCTCCCCAAAAAAGAAAAAGTCACTTCACATCCTGAGATTAAACACAGTTACCATATGATCTAGCCAATTCCACTCCTAGATATCTGCCACCTAAAATTAATACAGCTTCACACAATTACTTGTACAGATTTACAGCAGCATTATTAACAAAGGCCAAAAAGAGAAACCTACCCAAATGTCCAGTAGTAATGAACAGATGAAGATGTGATATAACTGTTTAATAAAATATTGCCAATCATAAAAAAGAATGAAGTATCAATTCCTGCCACACAGCATGGGCCTTGTGAAAACATCATTCCGAGTCAAAACATCCAGATATTAAAGGTTACCTACTGTATGATCACTGAAATATCCAGAAAAGAACAAATCTATATAGTAGATTGGAGGTTAATGGATACAGGGTTTCTTCTGGAGAAGATGAGGACATCCTAACATTTGTAACAATGAATGTATGACTCTATAAATATGCCAAAAATTTGTAATGCTTTTGTGTGAATTATACCTTAAAGTTACTATTAAAACAGGAAAAACACACTTAGTATGATGGCACATGTCTGTGACTCTAGCACACTGGGAGGACAAGGCAAGAGGATTCCAAGTTTGGCCCCACCTGTGCAACTTAGCCGGACCCAGTCTTGAAATATAAAGTACCTGAGAGGCTGAGACAGATGAGTGGATGCAAGTTCAACACCAACTTGGGCTACACAGTGGGTTCAAGACAGCCTGAACTACATAGCAAAACCTTGTTAAAAAAGGGGGTGTGTGTATACAGACATTATATGGATAGATAGATAGATGTAGGTCAGTATAAAGGCTCTCACTTCAATACTGCACTTGGGATCACCAGCAGCACAAGATCTCAAATAGTAACTATGCAATAAGTACCTCACCACCACCACCACCCACCACCACCAGGACCACCACCAAAAAAGACCCACACAGAAAAGATGTCTGACAGGACTTTATAATACTGTCATTCTCAAATTATACATAACTGATATTCAATAAATAGGGAATAAGCACATTAATAAAGATTATGCATACTAAAATAAAGTCATCTGTATAAAATGTCTTCTTTTAGACATGGTAAGAGCCCAGGAACTAATTATAGCGATAGACTGCCTGATCATCCATACATGAAATCACAGTATTAAAAAGAATGTGCTGCCAAACATGGCGGTGCTTGCCTATAATCCTAGCACTAGTGAAGCTGAGGCAGAAGGATCACTCGGGCTACACAGTGAGTTCAAGGCCAGCCTAAACTGCATAAAGAACTGGGCACGGTGGCACACATCTGTAATCCCAGCACTTGGAAAGCTACGGCAAGAGGATTGCCAAGAATTCAAAGCCAGCCTGGACTACACATAGGGAGTTTGACATCAGTCTGAACTACACAGCAAGAATCTGTCTCCTCCACCAAAAAATTTATTATTTATGAAAATAAATAATAAATCCTTTTAGAATGTGCTGGCTAGGGTATGGTGGGGCATGAGTAATCCCAGTACTTTGGGAGGCTGAGGCAGGAGATAATTTTGAGCTCAGCCTGGGCAACTTAATGACTTAGTGAGAACCTGTCTCAAAATAAAAAATGGGCTGAGGGCATAGCTCAAAGGCCCTGCTTTCAGTCCTCAGTACCACAAACAAAATAAAATAAAAATGTAAAGTAAGTATTCAATGTTTTAAAAAACTGATCAAGTTTTTATAACATGAGATTCACAAAAAGAAAAGCTACCCACATGTGTGGATTAGTTATTTTTTTGAGATAGTCTCACCGATTGCTAAACTGCCGGGGATGGGCTTGAACTTTCAGTCCTCCTGCCTCAGCCTCCCAGAGTGCTGGGATTACAGGCAAGAGCCACCACCCCCAGTTCCCTATGTGTTTATTACCCACTTCATCTCCCTCTTGAAATACTTTTTGCAGGTCAGGATTGAACCACAGCCCAAATCCATTCACTACATTTCAAACTGCTAAGTAGAAAACATAGAATAGTGTATGTAAGCAATCATATGCCATGCCGCTTAGACTATTAATAAGTTTACCACAATTCCCAGGGATTCAATGTTAGTTCATAGTTAAAACTCATTCTTTTTAAGTCACTACTGACCAATTACGTCCAATGCTAGCAACATTTTTTAAAGGACCTATGTAGCGGAGGCCAGGCTTGCACTTGTGGCAATCCTCCTGCCTCATGTTCTGAGTGCTGGAATTACAGGTGTGCACTACCATGCCAGGCTGTAGACACACTAAACTGTTGTGCAATTATATCTCCCGTTTATTCATTCAAAGACTAAGATGTTCTCCTAGGCACTGAGAATACACAAAGCCAAGCCAGGCAGAATGGCACACTATTTTTGTAAAATAGTGTATACTAAATACAATATACTGTGAGGACAAGAGCTGGGAGGACAAGAACCTTTATACTGACCTACATCTATCTATTTAATACCAAATTGTATTTAGTATACTATAGTATACTAAATACAATGTTAGTGTAACATTGAATACACTAATCCCAATATTTAATTGGGATTTAATCTCAACACTATGGGAAACCGAGTGAGACAGGAGGCTCACAACTATGAACTCAGACTGGGCAACTTAGTATAATTTAACAAGACCTTGTCTCAAAATAAAAATATAAAAGCTAAAAAGTAACTAAAAGCAAAACTAAAAATACTAAACACAACAACCACCACCACCCCCAACAGACATAACAGCACACATCTATAATCCAAGCACTCAGAAGGCTGAGGCAGGATCACTGGACTACATAGTTCAAGGCCAGCCTGAACTGTACAGTGGGACCCTATCTCATTTAAAAAAAAAAAAAGTCACAAAGAAATTTTATTTTTGTAAATGCATGTCTTACATGTTAGTATCAGGAAGAATTCCCCACAATTCTCACCTTGTAAATCTCCAGCCTTTTCTAAACACTAAAAATCACAAAGATTTAGAAAATCCTAGAAACAGTCTGGTGTGGTCGTGCACAACTATACACCCAGCATTCTGGGAGGCTAGAACAGGAGAAATGCATGTTCCAGCAGTTCCTGGGCAACTGAGAGAGATCCTCAAAATAAATAAGGGTTGGGGATGCAGGTCAGTGGAAGATCCTCAGTTCAATTAAAAAAAAAAAAAAGTAGAAATTTCCAATGACAGGTTTTCTTTCCCTTTTTCAAAGCCCGAAATGGTCTACTTTACAAAAATATTCAAAACTGGAAATCAAAATATTTTACATCCACACAATCTTGCCAGACGATGACAGTGGGTTGTTGGAAGCAGATTTAACAACCCAAGATCTTCAAATCACGGAGGCATCCAACAATTTTTGCTTAAAAGACAAAACTCCAATCTCTCCAGAATCCGTAAATCTCAAGTCATTCAATAACCTGAATTGTGTAACATGAAAATATCGCAATCTTCTCTACCTCCAAAAGCAAAAGTGCAATTTAGTACAAAGATCAGAAAAACTAACTCAAAAAGGTAACTTTTGGAAACAAAGTCTAAATTCCTTTAACAATTCAATAATTTATTGGACGCTTCACTACAAAGATTATCTTGTAATTGTTAGCTAACTTTTTTCCTATTTGCCCTCCAACCTAGGCATACAGACAACCCAGAACATCCAAACTACCTTTGGCGGCTTCCACATTCTAACTTTCATCAGTAGGCAAAGTTCCCTTATCTCCACTTCAGTAATTTGCATATGTGGAATGCTAGCAAAATGCAAGGAGGTGGGTTCTTTCCAGTTAAGACCAAATATAACCATTTTAAAACACCAGTTTACTTCAACTTGTGCTTTAAGATGCCAACTGTATTACCTACCCCAGTAAAAGGAAGAACAAGGCAGCAATGCAACTGGCTCCAGATGAGGCTTCCTCTTCTAGAGTTGATCAATGGAAACCATCCAAGAGACTCCTCTTTCCCTGGTTGAAGCTTTTCAGGGTAAGCGGTTGGTTATTATAAAAACCTTGGTAGAAAGATAATCCCTATCCACGTTAAACCTAAAACAATGTTTTAATAAACTGTATGACCAACGCAAGGTCATAAAACAAACTGTGCCATCCAAAACCTTTGAAACTGAAAACACAGCCATAAATCCTTTTGAGTAATACTTTCTTTATAACTTCCAAGGTCTAGAAATTTCAGGGACTAACAATTTAGGAAACTTGACAGCTTCATTCATGAAAATTTCCCAACCAGTTTTACAGCACCAAAGACCACTGGCTTAAAAGTACAATAAGACTTATTAGAGAAATCCTCTTGAAGGTAAGCAAAGATTATTTCAGTTCTCAGGAGGCACAGGCTACAAGAGGTCACATGCAGTATACACGCTCCTCCAGAAATGAACCCAAGGACAGAGACCAAAAACCTCACCAGGTTGCACAAAACGTACGTCAACAAGCAAGTGAAAACATTTTAAAAACACGAAAAAATAACAAAGCGTTGTCTTGAGTGAAAGGGAGGTCAACCGCTTAGCAGAAGCACATGACTCATCCACGGGCCTGAACAGAAGTACTGACACCGTCCTCTACACCAAAGTAGAGTTTCCCACCTTCGTCCAAGGCCGGGCCTTGGGAGCATCACACTCAACGAAGCTGTGCTATTTCCGTTTGGTGTGCGTGTGGAGGGAAGGAGCGGGATCATTTTATTTCGCTGAATCACAACACCCCTACATCCCCACCCCAAACCACCACACACGCACACAACATAGGAAATAAAAGAGGCCACTGCAAGGACGCTAGCGAGCACCGATCGAGCAAAACAAAGCGCCCAGCGAGGGGGCTGCCAGCCCGGGAGTGGGTGGGTCAAGTGGGCCCGGCTCACCCCGCAAGTCACTGTTCCCACCCATACCTCCGCGCCCTTCTTCCGGCTGGGATACACTGGCAGCCCCCTCCTTCCAGAGAGGATCTGCCTCGGTCTCTGCAGAGCCTCGGATCCCTACCAGGACGGGCGATTCGGAGGCGGGGGAGCGCTGCCCCAACCTGGGCGCAAAGACCCAGGTGCCGGAAGCGGCGCGCTCCGGGAACAGCCCACGTGAGCGCCGAGGCCCGGCCTGTCCCGGAGGACCTCGGCGGGGGGACAGCGGCGCCTGCGGCCACCGTGCAGGGTTCGGACTTACCCGTGCCGGGGTCGCCGCCGCTCCCGCGACCGCCGCTTCCTCCTCCTCCTCCTCCTCCTCACTTGACAAAATGGCGGCGGCAGGAAGTGCCGGGAGCCTCGGCCCGCCCCC